GCAGCATGCACAAAGAGCAAAAACTCCAAGAAAAATCCACATTTCTGGCCAAAGGACAAAGAAAAGTGAAGCTTTGAGCTGGAGAGAACAGAGGAATTCCTGCTTTGTTTGGTTTTTTTCTCTCTGTCTCCTTACTGTCACTGCCTCACCCCGAGGGCAGTCCTGTGAAATGGCATGACAGTGCAGGAAGCTAAACGTCCGAGGGAATCCCATCTTTCTGGCTAGACAACTTCAAAAAGGGGCCCATGGGAGGTAAAGAATGTGGGAGAAATTTCAGGAGAAAGCAAAAGAAGATCTCCTAATTCTATATGAAACCACTCAAATCCTGGGCCACCTTCCAGCTGCGCATGTATAAGGCACATTCAAAGAAATATAGCAAGGCTCTGAGAATTGGACTACCATGTAAACCACTGCTCAGTGACTCAAAGTTTAATCTCAGACTAATCCTTGTGTGGTGCTCACTTTGAAAACTGAACTGACAATAGGACCACCTCCCACAGAAGGTGAGACAGAACTTGCAGTCTGAACCTAACCAAGTTGACTGCTGAACAAAGCATACAAATGAAGCAAAAATCAACCTTCTCCAGAGGATTTTAACAAAATCAGAGTCTCACAGCATAACATTCAAAATGTTCAGGATACAATCTAGAATTGCTAAACATTGCAAAAAGCGGAAAAATCTAAAAATTCTCAGGAAGGCCGGCACGTGGCTCACACCTGTAATCCCAGTGCTTTGGGAAGCCGAGGCGGGAGGATCACAAGGTCAGAAGTTCGAAACCAGCCTGACATTAACAGTTAACATTACCAATAACAATAGAAGTTAGAAGGCAACAGAATAATTCCTTCAAAATCATGAATGAAAAATTTTCCCAACTGGAATATACTCAGCAAAACTCACAATCAAGGATAAAGGTAGAATAAGTATAAATTTTCAGATATGTAAGTCTCAATTTATTTCCCATGCACTCTCTGTCAGAAATGATTGAAGATAGCATTCTATCACACAAAGGAAAAGCATCCATAGTTTACTAGAGGCTCAACCGTGAATAGCATGGACATAGTGCAGTAATGTAGACACTGAATATTGATTCTAATTCTATTGGGAGGTCAGTGGATGGGGATAGTGGTTATGTGGCAGGGACAGAGGGAGGAAAGAGGCTAACCTTTCATCTTCCATAGTGGGATGTCAACAGAAATAGCTAAAACTGAAAAATCAAGAGGTGGCTACTCAAAGCATACTATTGAGAGTCATGGAAGTAAATATTTTAATCATCTGCTAAACTATATTAAATTGATGTATTATACTGCCTCTCAGGCAGGGCACAATGTCTCACACCTGTAATCCCAGCACTTTGGGAGGCCAAGATGGGTGGATGGCTTTGAGCTCAGGAGTTCAAGACCTGGGCAACATGGCAAAATGACATCTCTACAAAAAAGTACAAAAAATTAGACAGATGTGGTGGTGCACACCTGTAGCTACTCAGAAGGCTGAGGTTGGAGGATCACTTGAGCTTGGGAGGCAGAGATTGCAGTGAGCCAAGATCACCCTGCTGCACTCGAGCTTGGGTGACAGAATGAGACTCTAGGGAAGGGAAAATGGAGGTGAATTTTTTTTAAATAATGAACCTGTAATGATAATTGTCTTTTTAAACCATGAGGCTTCATAACTTTGACAACTACAAAACTTTTTCTAAAAATTAAGCTACCAGTACCTTGACGCGGCCACTAAATTCAGGAGAGCTAGCCTCAGCGTTCAGTTGTTTTCATTGTTACATTTCACTCCTCTGCAAGAAGTGACTTACAATAATCAAACTCACAAAGAGAGTCCTGTTAAAAACCAGAATGACAATTTATTAATTTATGATGTGAAACAAAACTGCCAGCTTGAACAAATATTTGTTTACTGTGCCAAGAATATTTGGTAAATAATAGATAATAAATAGTTGTCTAAGACTTGTTTTACTGATTAGTACATTATTTTAAAAAAAAAATTTTTTTTTTTTTTTTT